CTGCAGTGGGGTCCCTGGGAGAACAGCACGTGGTCTTGGTGGAGCAGCAGGAATAACCCTCCTGGTTCTGAGCCACCTTTCCAATGCACCCGTTTGTGTCTTGGTGTCTCCATGTGGTGTTTGGGCTCTCAACCCCAAAACTGTTGTGGGTGCAAGGATTAGTCCCTGAATTCCATATGGGGGGGCTGTTTTTGTGGGGCTGATGGCTCTTTGCTCCTTCTGAGGGTCAGAGATGAGATCTGGCCGCTAAATGCCCACCCACATCCCGGGGGAGCCTTTACGGACCGATCCCCTCCCTTCCTGCTGTTTCCTGGGTGCAGTGGCAATTGTTAAGGAAAATGAGGCTTTTTAAAGATAAAGGAGGAGGGTTGGACTGGAAGACTGGGTTCTACTCTGAGTTATATTGTGGTCCCATCCACATCCCAGTGCCGGGAGCCAGACAGAGCTCAGCTCTCAGTGGTGTCGGTGCCGCAGCCCTGTCCTTGCAGGCGCAGCAGTTCCCAAACCTCAGCCCTGCTCAGGCACGGATTGATTGTGCACCAAACAGTCGAGGTGCAAACGTTGATCATGCAGGAAAGTGCTGGTCATCAGCCAAAAATAAGTGGTCCCCAGCTGGAATTGGTAATTCCGCTTCACAAACCAAGCGGATCACGCCAGTGGTGGCGGTCCCCCCTGCGCTGTGGTTGTGCTTCGTGCTGTAGTATATTTTCCCTACTTGTCTGGCTCTTTGGTTAATAAAGATGGAGAGGAACAATAAAAATATTCATTAAAAAGAAAAAAAATAAAAGATGGAGCCCTGCCTGTAGCCTCTAGCAGCTGGGAGAAGCAATTGCTAAATGAAACCGAGACCTCCAGGGTGGCTGCTGGTGCCCAGGGCTGGGATTTGGGGGTGGGGGGGATTTGGGAAGCCCAGAGCCCTGGGTGCCTGGTGGGGCCGTGGGATGCTCGGGGCGAAGGCCACAGCTGTGGCACCGCAGGGACGGCTGCTGCTGCGGGGCGGAGGGAGGGGGGCGAGGGAGCGGTGATGAAAAAGGGAATTAGCAATATAAGCTCTGGGAAAAAGCAGCTGTCGGGTGGGGTTATGCGGGGTTAAGCCGTTATCTCGGGCTGTATCGAACGTGGGGCTGGGCTCTCGCTGCTCCTCCCAGGTCGTTAGGTGCTGTCCTGAGGAGTGAATGTGCCGAAACCCTCAGGCTGGGGGCTCTTGGCGTGGGCGCTGATGGATGGGAGCACCATGGGACGGCTGCGATGGATGGAGCCAGGGCTGGGAGGAGCAGGGGAGAGACCCCATGGGGACCTGGGGCTGTGTGGGGACAGGCTCGGTGGGAAGGGAGAAGGGCAGGAGAGGTGGGCAGGATGCTCTGTGCTGTCCCCATGCCGTTGTCACACCAGCTGAGATGCAGCAAGTGGCATTTCTCATGGGGTTATCACTGATGGGACGGCCCCGTGGCACGCGGTGTGTCCATGCTGGCACAGGGGCTTGGGGGCAGCCCTCGGAGCACTCCAGCAACACCCCGTGTCTGAGAGCTGCTGCTGGGAGCCCTGCCCTGCCCCAGCCCGTGGCACCAAGGCGAGACGTGTGTTTCCTCCCCTGCTTCCGAGGCGTGAGAAGAGCTCTGTGCCTCGCTGCGATTTATCGCCCGGCCCCGAGCCAGACGCCTGGATGGCTTCAATCTGCAGCTCCCGGAGCTGATAGAAATATCCCCCCGTCACATTAACATCACCCACAGCTACCGCAGCTGCGTGTCAGCAGCAGGAGCAGCCAGCGACCTGCTCCCACGGGACTGGAGCCCCCGGGTTGGGGCTGGCTCCATCGCACCCCCCCCCTCCTCCTCCTCCAGGGGCTGGCTCTGAGCCCCCCTCACAGCACCACAGACACCTTGGGTGAGCACCCACCCGCCTCCAGCTCCCCCCCAGATGCTTGTGATGCCTTTCCTAGAAGTACCAGTGAAATGCAGTGTGTTTTTTTGCTGAAAAAGCATGGAAATGGCAGCGGGGAGCACAGCAGGATGGCCAGGCTGATGGTGAGGCTGCTGCCTCCCTTCCCTCCTTGGGCATCGGGGGCAGAGCGGGGTGCTCAGCTCCTGTCCCTGTGGTGCTCTGTGTAATTCGGGGGGGCACTGTGTTAGCTCCCGAGCTGTCGGAGGTACGGCTGGTGTTGGGGTGTGATTTGCAGCCCCTCCAGAGCCACCCAGCCCTATAACCTCCTGCCTGCCGCCTGCCCTGTCCCCGCCTCACCCCCATCCCTCTCCCCTGTGCTATCTTCGGTCTAATTAGGAGGCCAGGGCGGCGCGTGCGAGGCGAATGTGACCTCATTAGTTTCTTAGGCTGTATTGAAACTTCTTCTCATTTACATCCCAAATCCCTGAGCGCACATCTCTGCTCTCCGGGGTGGCTGCTGCTGCTTTCCAACCCTTCTGGCAGGGCTCTGGGCCGCAGCCGCGTGCCCTCTCCCTGATCGCTTGCTCCACTTCTGCCTCGAAGCCGAACCCCTCGTGGGTTTGGGGGGGGCAAATTCCTGGTTCAAAGTGAGTGGGGGGGGGGGGGGGGAGAAAGGCTCCTGGGGGAGATGCCCTGTGCTAGGGGCACTTATCCCTGTACCCATGGGGATGGGGTGTGGGGAGAGCAGCCAGCACCCCTGCCCTTCAGCGCCTCTGTTTGCTGCAGCACGGGGATGCCCAAATCCCCCTGGCTTCATCCTCCTGACGTTCAGAGGCTTCCTTTCAAGCTCTGAGGATGCACAGCCCCGTGGAGCCCTTCTTTTTCCATCCTAGCTGGAAGGAGAGCACGCTCTTTGCAATGGGAAAGTTTGCGTGGGCTCTCCTGTGTGCTGCTGGATCCCTTTATAGGGCAGGTACCTCCGAAAGCAAGATGTTTCCAGCTCTCGCAACGAGCATAATTCTTGAAAACGTACGCAATAAACAAAACGAGCCAAATGTAATTAAAATGGAGACAGCATATAATCTGGTAACCCACTTAGAGGCTCAAAGCTTCGGCTTTTTTTAAAAAAAAATGTTTGCTCCCAATCCATTTAAATAAACAGAACGCCACACAAAGGCTCTCTGTACATTATCAGGACACAAAGAGGAGCGGATCAAAAGCAGCTGTGGCCGGGCTGTACATATGTAGCGAGGAAATTGCTTGATCTCACGTTGCACCTTGCACATGCAAATGCGTCTGCGCCCCTCGCTGTGCGCCGCAGCCCAGCTGCTGCTGCTCCCCCCCCCCTGTGCTCTGCGAGGGGTGGCGGCAGGACCCCCGCTGGGCTCCCCCCTACTGTCCCCCCCCCTTGTAGTGCTGGGAAATGGGTACGGCGAGGTGGGACCCGTGGGTGGCCCCGTGTCACCCCTTGTGCCTGGTTAGGGTGCGGTGGGACCCGTGGGTAGCGTTGTGTCACCCTCTGTGCCCATGTAGGGTGCACTGGGATATCCCTCTGCGTGGTCTGGGGGGGTCCTGGGGTGCAATTGATGCTTCCCCTACAGCATGAGGATGTGCTGGGGGTGCTCTGTGGTGTCTGCGTGTCCTGGCTGCTGTGGTAGGTGTGGGGAGAGGCCAAAGCTGGCTGAGCTGCGCCCTCCCCATGGGTGCGCACAGCAGTGTCTGGAGGGGTGAACTGCTCAGAAACTCGGGAAATCGATGGGAATCCTCTTCCTTACCGCCTGTGCCATGGGTTCCCTGCTTGGCCGGTGTCACACAGGCCGTGTGCTGCCACATTGCGTCCCCCCCAGGCTTGCTGGGGACCATCCTGGTGCTGTGGGGTTTGCACCTCCCCTCCCCAAATGCTGTCTGGCGGTTCTGCAGCACAGCCTGGCTGTGTTTGTTGGCCCTTGAAGTTTTGCCAACCAACGTGATTTGTCTCGGGCCGGACAGCAGGGGCTGTGAATCCAGGATCAAGCACAGCTCCTAGGCCAGCAGAAGGCATTTGGGGTCAGGCGAGCATCTTCCCCTCGCTCTTTGGGGTGGCTGGGGCTCACCGGGGGGTGCTCGTGGTGGCGCGACGTGGGGCGAGGTGGCGGTGGGGAGGGCGAGAAAGCTCTCCTTGAACTTTCCACCTATTTCCAGGTGTCTGCAGCGTTAGGAACCGGAGGCTGGGCTCAGCCTGGGGGGGCGATTTCTCACCCCCACCCTCACCAGCACCGCTCCCCGGGGGCTGCTCGGGGCTCGGTGCCCGCCGTCGGGGCCGGCTCCCGCAGCGGGCGGCGTCGCACCGGCAGAGGGAGCTCCGGGAGCGTCCTCCGAGCGGGGGGACCGGGGGCGGCGGGGCTGGACCCCCCCCCCCCCCAGGGCCGGAGCTGGGGGCTGTGCCCGTCGGGGGTGGCTCTGCCCCGGAGCTGGGGGTCCCTGCTGCGCTTTGGGGGGGGTCTGAGGGAGCGGGGCTGGGTGTGGGGCGGTGCTGGTGGGGGCACAGCGCCGGCAGCCGCCCCCCCCCCTCCCCGTGGCCATCCCGGCGGTGACGGGCACGGCGGTGACCCCCCCCCATCGCCCCCCCGGGGGCTGCAAACCGTGTGTGCCTCGCACCGGGGGGGGGCAGCCCCCGCTGCCAGCAGCCCCACGGCCTCCAGCACGGGGGTCCCGGCCTCCCACGGTGGTGCTGGTGGGGGGGCAGGACCCTCATTATCCCCCCCCCCCCAGCGCGCCCCGTGCGCCCCGTCCAGCCGCGCCGGGGAGGGATGGAGATGGTAAAGGGGGGGGGGGCGCTGCCCGTCCAGCTGTGCAGCCCTGATTGACAGGCCTCGGCGTCCAATGGGGGGGCTCGGAGGGGCCGAGGGGGGGCCTCCATTGGCTGGGGGGGGGAGGAGGAGCCGGGACTTGAAGTTGGAGTGAGGGCTCCAGCGGTGCCCAGCGCTCCGCTCGCCGCCCGCCCGAGCATCCTCGGCGGCTGCACCCCCCCGGGGGGCCGCTGGTGGGGGCGCGGGGGGGGGGGGGGCGCCGGAGCCCTTAGGGAGCCTCCCCCGGGGGCCCAACCCCGGCTACTGGAAGGGGAGAAGGGGAAAGGAGAAGGAGGAGGAGGAGGTGGTGGTGGTGGAGGGAGGGGGGGGGGCAGAGCTCGCCGCCTCCCCTCCCGCGGCTCGGGCCCCCCCGGAGGCACGGCGAGGAGGAGCTACGGAGCCCGCAGCCGGCAGGGCAGGGCGAGGGGGGCCCGGCCCCGGCTCCCCCAGCCATGCAGCCCCGGAGCTGAAGCCCCCCGGCCCCTGCGCGATGGGCTCCCCCCTTTAGGTTTCCTCCCCATCCCCGGCTTTCCCCGGCTCCCCCCCCCCCCAACCCCCCCCCACCCTCCCCCGGGGGGGGGTCGCGGCCGGAGGATGGACGAGGCTGGAGAGCGAGCGGCCACCGAGGAACCGGAGCCGGGCAAAAGCAAGACTTTCATCCGTCTCAACGACCTGTCCGGGGCCGGGGGGCGGCAGGGGCAGGGGGCTGGGGTCGGGGAAGGGGCCGGGGGGGGCGGCAGCGGCGGCGGCGGCTCGGAGGCGGAGGCGCTGCCCTACCCGGCTCTGGCCCCCGTCGTCTTCTTCTACCTGAGCCAGGAGAGCCGGCCCCGGAGCTGGTGCCTCCGCCTGGTCTGTAACCCGTATCCTTTGCAGGTGCCGGCGGCGAGGTAAGCCAGCATCCCCCCCCCCCTTCCCTTTTTTGCCCCCCCCCACCCCTCTCCCTCGGCTGGGATTTTTAGGAGGGGATGGAGCCAGCTCGCCCCCGCCCCCCCCCCTACCCCGGTGCCCTCTCGGGAAGTTTGCTGGGTTGTTGCAGGGGGTGCATCTCGCCCCGTCCCGCTTGGGGGGGTCCCCTCCGCTGTGCCCCCCCCTCCCCAAATCCCCGAGCTCCCCCGGGGATGGGGAACGGGCCCCCTCCTCCTGCTCCTCTCCTGCTCTCCCCGGCACGCTGAGGGACCCCAAACCCCATCGTCCCCCCCCCCCCCCCCCCCTTTGCAGAACCCCCCTTCCTCCCTGACCCCGTTTCTCACCCGTTTTAGGCTACCCGCTCCCTTCCCTGGGGGTTTTAATGAAGCCGGGGGGGGGGAGGCGGTGGTGCAGGGGGGATGGAGAGGGGCTGGGTCGCTGCTCGCCTGCGGGGTCCCTAAATAATTCACGGTGTGTGGGGCCGGCTGGAGGGCCCGCTCTCCCCAAACCCTCCCGGGCTGCCGTGGCCCAGGGGCTGCTCCTGGCTCGGTGGGGTCCAGGGCAAAAGGTGGGGGGAGCGGGGTCCCATGGGGTGCCCGTCGGCCGGGTCCTGGGGTGAGCCGTGCCCCCACACAAGCTCCTGGTCCCCTCCAAACTCCCCGTCTGCTCTGCACAGGTTCCGTGTCCGAGCTGCTTTAGTCAAGTTTAAGCTTTCAAAAGAGAAGGAGGGGGGGGAAGACAATAGAGAAGCCACTTCTTGCTGCAGTCTCGGTGCCTTGAAAGCCTCCCTTGGAGTTGAGTCGCGCCCAGCGCACGGCTCCTCGCCTCGCGCGTGGTTTGCCAGCCCCGAACTCCAGCTCCGGCGTGTGATCTGCAGGAAGAAAAATCCTACAGGGGGATAAAAGGAGGCGATGTGGCTTCCAGCAGGGGATGGTGCCCGCCAGCAGCCCGTGCCCGGGGTGAGCGGGACCTTCCCGGGGCCGTGCAAAAGCCAGCGCCGAGCACGGGCGGGCAGAAACCCCACATCTGGAGTGGGAGAGGCTGTGCGGCAGCAGGGAGGACATGTTACAGGGCATGGAGGGCCAGCAGGAGCTGGGCGAGAGCTCCCAGCTCACACAAACCAGGAGTAAATCCGTCGGGGCTGAGGTCGCTGTGCCCGGGTGAGGGGCTGCGGGAGCTGTGGGTATTGTTTTAGTTAAGCTTCGGCAGTAATTCATCCGATAAGCAGTCTGCCTCCTTTCCTAAAATGTCCCCCAGGAGGGGAAGAAAAGCAAGATTTCTCTTCCCAGTCATGAATGCTCCCTGCGGTTCCCCCCAGACCTCTCTCACACCAGCCAAGCAGTCCGAGGCTGCGTTTATTTCAGCATCTTAGGAAATCTCCAAACTTTGTGGAGCGTTCTGTTTTGGGGAGGAATATTAACTGCGAGTCCGGGTGCTCTCCTTGCCTTCGGTGGATAATGCAATTTATGACAGCTGATTTATGGATGTTTTTTTTCAACCCCCCGCCTCTCCCCAGTGGTGTTGTTTTGAAGCAGGTGTCAACACCTGAACGTTTCCAGCTGGTTTGGGTAAAATCCCCTCCACCCCGCTCCCTCCAGCAATGGCTTAAAATGCGTCTTGTCCTATGAGCGGGTTTGCTTTCATCCCTGGGAGAGGAGCGTTACCGGCAAAGCCTCCCCTGGGCACCTGCACACCCTGCTGTGCGCAGGGCTGAGCGCTGGGCACAGCCCCGGGGGCTGGCGTTTTCCTCCTCTCCCGCTTGCAACGGGGAAATCGAACTGCTGGGAGCCCCAGGAGCGATGCCGCAGGGCTGTGGGTCGGGTGGCTGTGAGCTGCTAGGTGTTTTCTGGGCCGCTGACCCACAGCTGGGGAAGCTTATTTAGGAAAAGCAAAGAGAAAGTGGTCTTTAACCAGGTTAACCAGAGCGGTCCTGCTCGTGGGTTTGGCTCTCCGCAGCCCTTTGCTTTTTTAGATGTTACACTTTTATCTTGCTTATTGTGGTGGGCCAGAAAAGTGAAAAAGTGACTCTTCCTGCGCCGTAATCTCCTAGGAATCGTGCCCTGGTGCCACAAACCTATAATCGCCTCCTCGGACAGTCCTTGCTGCCACCAGCTGCTCGGGGAGGAGTGACAGGTGCCCGGCCACGTGGCTGGCAGGAGCCCTCCCTGCCCACTGCCTTTGGCAGCCGATGGAGGGGCTCTCGGGGGCTCCTTCCGTGCTCTCATCTCATTTTTACCTCTTTTTGGGTGAGGCTGTGTGGAAATCCACCTCCTGCCTGCTCCCCGATGTCCCCCTGCCCTCCGTGGCTGTCCCTGTGTGCAGGATGGGTGCTGCAGGTGTTGGCAGCGGGTGCTGGAGCTGCTGCTGCACCCAGAGCCCTCTCGCTGCCCCAGCAAGGACAGCTGGTGTCCCTGAGGCTGGCGGTGTCCCCAGGGCTTGTCACATCCCCAGTGCCACTGGGATGCTGCTCTCCATCCCCTGCAGGCAGGTTGTGTGGACCGTGATGGCCTGAGGCAGGGCGAAGGTTGACGGGCTGGGTGTCAGCAGGGATGCCAGGGTCCTGCCGGGATGATTTGTGAGGCTCTTGTACCCTGTTCCAGCTCCAAGCATCCTCCGTTTGAGGCTGTTTCTCCCTTGGTCTGGAGCGGGGATGGGGGAACCTGTGCCGGGCTCTCGTTCTGCTCCCTCAGGGCTAGAAAGAGGTCGAGGAGTTTGTCCTGATCCAGAAACTGAATGCTCCAGGGCCTGAAACGTTGGGTTTTTAACCTTAAAACTCTCAGCCTTGCAAAGCTCTCCTTCCCCTCCGCCCCGGCGTGGTTTTTGAAGGAAAACCTGGTTGGGGCCAGGCCCCCAAAGGGGAGGGAGGTGATGGGACGTGCTGCGGGGTCACCGAGCTGGGGCTGGGGGCATCGGGGCTGGGGAAGGCTGGGCTGGTGGGCAGGGAGGAACGGGGGTCCCCGGGGGGAAGGAGGAGGGAAGCTGGTTCTGCTCGACTTTCCCTTATAGGATAAAAGCACCACGAAGGCTGGGAGGATGAAAGGCTGCAGCAGGGGCTGTGCCAGGCTGCTCCTCTGATCAGAGGCAAGAAACGAGGCTAGGGCTCGAGAGCTGCGCGGTGATTGAAGAGCAGGGCTGGAGGAAGCGGGGAGGATGCTGCTGCGTGGCGTCAAGAGCTCTGAATAGGAAAATAACAGAGTTACTGGAGGGCCTGGGGTGTTGGTGCTCCAACCTGCCTCTCCCCGGTGGCTGCGCACGGAGCGGTTTGGCTGTACCGAGCTGCTGCCCCGCAGGATGCCTGGCACGGCCCCGTCTCATCCTCCTGGGGCAGAGCTCACGGCCTCTGGACCTTAGGTTTTAAATTTATTTTATGGCTGAGGGCTGTGTGGGGCCGGCTGGGGCTGCTCCATGCCCGTGTCCGTGTGTCCCACGTGCCGGAGCGTGGTGGGACGGGGCGCAAGCCCATCGAGCTCTGCTGGGGTTTGGGCTTCCCCGGCTGGGTGTGCTCCGTGCCACGGGGCCACACGAGGTCCTTGTCCCCTCCTCGGGCTGGGTGCTGCTGCTCGTGTTAGTGCTCTTTGTTGGTAGGTTTGTGAAGCAGCTCGCTTCGGGGTGCAGTGAACCGAGGTGCTTTGCTTTGGGAGGTTGAAACTGAAAGATTTCTTTTTTTTTGTTTGTTTTAAAAACCCACCAAGGAGGAATTCAGTGGCTTCACCCGCCCCGTGCTCAGTCCTGGTGCTCGCTTCTCTCCTCTCCTGCGGGCACCAGGTCACCGGTGAGCGCCTCCTGCTTAAGGGGGATGCAGAAGCCCCGTTCCCTGCAGCTCACAGGGAACTGGAGGCTGGGGGGGGAGGCTGGGGGGGGTCCTCACGTCCCCTCCCTGCCCGTGGGGACAAGGGGAACTGGGATGGGGCACGGCTGGGGATGTGCTGCTCTGCCTCCCATGCAGTGGTATCAGGAGAAAAAGCAGGACTCACTGCCTTCTAGCAAGGGCAGCACGAGCGTGGTGTCTTTTTTTTTTTTCTTTTCCTTTTTTTTTTTCCCCATTTATTCCTCCTTTCCCAAGGGACAAATAACTCTGAAGCCTCTTCCCCGCCGCTCGGAGCCCTGCGGGAGCGAATTTGGGCTCGGTGTGGCGGCCGGCAGCCCCCTCACTGCTGCCTCCCTGAGCAAAGCCAGGAGCTGCTTGATCCTAATCTCGGTACCACACCGATCCCAATCCCAACACACCGACCCCAATCCTAACACACCGACCCCAATCCTCCTGCCCCGCATCCATCCAGCTCCGGGAGCTCCCCCCGTTGGCTGCTCCGCGGGTGTGTTTTCGAAGGGAGATTCTCTTCGGCGAATTCCCTCTCCCAAGGCTGTTGTGTCACATCTGGAAGTTTGTGTAGGAGTTTATCCAAGCGCTGGAGCACGGGGCAGCTTTTTCTCATTTAAAAATCATAGGCTGGCATTTTGAGCCGGGCTGGGGGGGGGGGGAGGGAGGAGGAGGGCTGAGGGATCCGTCTGCCAAAAAGGAGACTGGAGCAGAGGAATTGTAATGACTTCCAGAAGTTTTTCTTTTCTTTTCTTCCTTTCTTTCTCTCCCTCCCTCCCTCTCGGCGCGCAGACAAAGGGCTGAGCCCATGCTGGTTATGTCATCCCAGCCCAGGGACCCGGCTTCCCCGGGGGGGACCGGGGGCTGCTGCGGCTCCGAGCCCCCCCCGGCAGGAAATCCAGGAGGAGGATTCCTGCGAGAAGCAGCGAGGAGATGCCCCCAGCCTGCTTTTAATTTGGGGAGGGGGCGGCTCGCCCCAGCCTCCTGCATCTCCTGGGGCTTGGACCCCTGGGGCCAGACTCCCCCTGGGCACCTCTCATCGCCAGTGCTCCCCCCCCCCCCCCCGTGCCGGTGGCACCCCTTGGCCGCTCGCTGCCCTCGAGTCCATCCTTTTGTGCTCCCCCCCCTCCCCGGTTC